TTGCAAACGTTTCATTACCCAGCTAGGTACTGAAGCATGTTACCTGACTGGGTAATGAAATGTTTGCAAGAAAACAACCAAGCTCAGAGAACCCCAAGGACTCCACAGACAATATTCTTCATCTCTGGGCTCAGAGATAGTAATTTGTAACTGAGTGAGATTCTGAGAGGGAGTTAAACAGAAGGTTATCCTGTCCAGCATTTCAGTCATTACATTATTCTAGCTCCTTTCTGGTTCTGTTGATGTGACTCCTCCATATATGAGGCTAGAAGCAATTGTTCCCTCTTTTAAAAACAACAAGAAATGCTTGTAGTCAAGAGTATAAGAGCTATAGGACAAAACAAGTAGGAAAAATTTAAGCAGTTTCCACATTACATGGAACGTTGTGCAACAGAAGTGGGTGCATATGCAACAGAATAGCTGCCTGGACGTAGATTTTCACTGGTGTTTTCCTGCTTGAATTTAAACGTTGCCAGTGCTCCACAGACCTGAGGTGAAGATAAAAATAAATTTGCAATCCCAGCATAGGATGCTCTGTTGTGATTCAGTCTGGTTGTGCTAATGAAGGGAAAGCTATTGATTATTGACTAGAAACATGTGTCTACAGAAAAAGATTACCAATAGAGCAGTGTTTCTCAACCTTGGCAGCTTTAAGATGTGTGGACTTCAACTCTCAGAATTCCTAGAGCAGTGTTTCTCAACCTTGGCAGCTTTAAGATGTGTGGACTTCAACTCTCAGAATTCCCCAGCCAACAAGCTGACTGGAAAATTCTGGGAGTTGTAGTCCACACATCTTAAAACCGCCAAGGTTGAGAAACACTGCAATAGAGCCTCTAGCCAGACTTGTACCACACACTTTTTTGGATCGATGGTGTTGTGTAACTCAGTCAAAAGGGCAGCATTAGTTTTAATCCCCCCAAATTCCCAATTTGTTTTGGATTACATGACTCTCATCCATGTTGTGTAAACCTCAATCCATTGAAAAGCTTTTAAATTTCCCAAACTGACCTAATCAGTCCACCAAAAAACAAAACAAAAAGTTAGAGATAGAAAACAGTTGAAAAATCAAGGCTCTCCATTGTGGAAGTGGCGTGGCGGAGGCTTTGCTATCGTACACATTTCTTTTGCTTTGCTGATCTGTAGATTTTTTCTAAAAAGCTCTTCAATTCAAATGACAGTGGAATTGGTAACTAGATGCAACAGCTGGAGATCTGTGACTTGCAGTTTAAGGTTTTTTAAATGTTTAGTAGCAGAAGGACTGGAGGGTAAGGGAATCTCATGGAACATAAGAACATTGGATGGGGAATATTGGCTTTTATTTTACTTTTATATCTCCTGCCCTCAAATTATTTGCCTAGTAGGCTTAAAGGGGCTTTCATTGGAGAAATTGCATTAGGACCAACCCTTGTTTCCCAGTACGGGGACCTTGACAGTTTACTTCCTTCCTGTAACTACTCTTGAACAGGTAAACAGTGGAAGATCCGGTCAGGCATGCTTTCTATGTTGCATCTAATTGTGTTCCCATTCTCTTGCCTCTTAGGAGTGACTTTGAAGTAACTGTTGCATTTCCAGTAAATAAATAACCTAGTTTGTATTCAGTAATGGGAAGGAAGACTATTGTGAATGTCAGGGAGCTTTTTGCTTTAGTCACAGGGAATCTGCTAGTCTCAGCATTTGCTTTGTGCCAAAGAAATTCATGATTCCGCCAGACAGCAACTGAAAAAGCGGGTGAGTGGGGAAAATCTTCATCCATCCAGTAGAAATCTACCAAGAGGGGGAAAAGACGTTGTATGAAGAAGTTTAATGTTGAGGTTTGACATTTTTAGACTACTCTTTGAAAGTTTCCATTTCTCATACATTTAGCTTCCTTCAGAAGCCCAGACTTTACATGCTCAGCTGGAATGCTAGCAGGTTATACTGACTTTGTCATTACCCCATGAATAGCTATCTCTCTGGGTGAGATACCTGTTTCCAAGACAAATTGCACATCAATATTTGAACAGCATTTCTCCATCCAAGAATTCTGAGTATAATCACTGAGCGATATTCCTACGTCTTTAGGAAATGCCATGGCAGGCATGCAGTTTTATCGGCTATATACCTGATTGTGTATTTAAATATTTAAATATTTTCTGAAGGCCAAGCAAGAAATCACCATGCACATCCTTGTGTTCTTTTCCCCAAAGGCATCTTTACTACATTACTGTCCTGTGCAGCTTGATCTCTAGTGAAGATGTATAGAACTGAGTCATTTGATTTTATTCATTTTGGGCCAGCCTCACTATTAGGCCAACGGTGCAAAGGTCCCAGGTTGCAGGTGCCAGCAAAGACAAGCTTTCCCTCTCCTTTAATTCCCAGCTCTTCTTTAGATTAGGTCTCCTAAACTAGGGTGTTGCTTCAGGTATCATAAAGAGCACTATCCCAATAGAAAAATACATTTCAACCTTTTATCCAGCTGACTTCTAAACATGGGATGAAAAGAAGATGCCATATTTGCCTCAGTCAAATGTCTTAGGCCAGTCCTGTGTTCCTATAAGCAAGTAAAAAGGAACAATATAGTGACTTTAATGAACAGCTCCAAAAAGATTGGTGGTACATTCTATGCTAAATGCTAGAAAAAATGGAAAAAACAGGGAAGTGGAAGAAATGTGTTTGATTTGCATTTAACGTGAACTTCCTTAATTCACCATGCCCAAAGTTATACAGTATTTCAGTTGGGAAGCAGAGACTGAGGATCAAGTCCCCCCTTGACTATGGAGTAAAGAATGTGCCAAAATGTATGTGAAATGTCATGCAGACTTTAAAAAAAGATGGAAAATGGGTCAGAATGAATGTAAGATTACAAAAACAGAATGAAATGATACTTGACAGAACCATACATCCGTATACTAACTGATTACAATTTTTTTCAGTCCCACATACTCCAAAATTACAGCCTCAGGATCCAAACTCAGCCACCAGCACATCGATTGCTGTGTATTGGACTGTGAATGAAGATGATCTCATTGATTTCTTCCAGGTTTATTGTATGGAGGAATACCCAGGAAGCAAACAGCAAAGTGGTGTGTGAGTGTTTCTGAATGGGGATGGAGGGGGGAGGGAGAATTTACAGAAGCAAAATAATAATGTAATAAAACCATCTTGAATACTCTTACACATAGTGAACAGAAATCATGTTATTTTACATCAAGGACTCACCCTTTTGGTAATTTCAGGCTGGGAGGAGTTAAGATTGTTGCTTAGCAGGATTTCGACTGCTACTAGATTCAGGGAGGGGTTGTTTTGTCATATAGCCTGCTATAGATAAGTTCAGTTAGTCTCTGTTACTATCAGTAAGTATTTGTTCATAGTAATTACATGTTCCTGCTATCATGTGTACAGACTACAAATGGAATACAACAAAAATAAATAATTTTAGCAAATATATGGTGGTTCAGACAGTGATCATGTCAGAGCCATGGGACTATTTGGTTCCCCTCCCTACTAGTCGTGATGGCTGGTGGGCTGTCAATTCTCGCCCTGATCTCAATCCAGTGGAGAATTTAAATCAATCCAAATATAGGTGAGTGTAAATTATTTTCTTTGTGTTGTTTCCAATAGAAGGAGAACATTAAGAAAACCAGCAGGTGGATGGAGAGACATAATTGTAATATGACCCATGTTCATTTCTTCCCTTTCCAACTGCTATGTAGAGTTGTTGTTTTTTTGCCAATCTGCTATTGTTTGGGTCAGATGTCTCTCTTGCTGTTTTATGAAGCAAAAGGGCATTTTCCGTGACTTCTTGTGTGTGTATATGTTGCTTTTACATGTTCTAGGCTTCAATGAAGAATATCGTGTCATCGTGAAAGAGAGTAACTGCATTTTGGAGGATTTGGAACCTGGTCACTGCTACAGTGTGTGGGTCATGGCTATAAATTATGCAGGATGTAGTTTTCCCAGTGACAAATCCATATTTAGAACTGGTAAGCTGTTTGGTCTTCTAGAGATTTTTTCCCCCTCAATATTTGTATAAAAGAAGTACAGAGGACATATAATAAAAATGACTAAAACCAGAGGCTTTCAGGAGGCTGTGTTCTGTATTTACATTTGCACAGGTGTGATCTTTTATATAGATCAGTCTTCCTTAGTTTTAAGTTTTACTCACATGAGACTGTCTCATCTGCTAGGGTTTGTAACATGAAAGTCTCCTCTTCTTACCTCCTTACATTAAACTGGTATAGAACTGGGAACATAGGCATCCTTAAAGGTGGTAATTAGAACTAGTGAAAGTGTTAAGACACTACAGATAACAGGTTATGCATTTTAATTGGTAACTGTTAACTCTGTTATTATTTTAATTAACTACTGTGTAAAAAAATTACTCTTTTTATATCCTTAAGAATGAAAAAAATAAAATAGAAAACCAAAAAGAATTTTAAAAATTACATTCATCTGAGGAAGTGGGCTGTTCAAAAATATTTTGTACACTTTACACTCTATATTCATTTGCTAATATTTTTATTTAGGATGGGATTTTTTTGAAAAGACAAATATATAGTATCTTGAACTTAGGTAACAACAAAAACCAACCTTTCTTATGGTCATAGAGCAGACTCAATAAAATTACCGACAGAGGGAAATATTTTATCCTCTTAATGTATACCTAAATAAGTATCAATATATCCAAATTAGTCATCCTATACACAATTTCAGAATTCTCTTTGAAGGACATACTTTGAAGAGTTAAGAAGACAAACCACTTATGTTAATTGAGATATACTTTCTTTCCAACCATTCACTCAAAATTCTCCCCAATTGTTAACTTCCGGAGGAAGAAATGGTGGGCTGAAGACAGCTCCATGAAAAGTGGAGCAGACGACCATGGCGGAATGAAGAGTCGGCAAGAAGACCAGCTCTTTGAAACCTCTCTGGACAAAGACAGAACTTGACACCCTGTCAAGTGCTCCAGACAGCTGCTCCTCAAGATAGTGGTCTCTGGTGGGTTTAGAGCTCTGTGAGACGAGGGAATAGTCATCTTGCTCAAACCACAGTTGGTGCCTTTGAAAGAACATGAAGGTTGCATATTTCCGTTTCTAATCACTTTCGGAAATTGTTTGTTAACTGCTTTTCAGCTATTAAAACCTTTGGATTGGCAAGTTTGACAGCTCCCAGTGAGTTTCCTTCAATCCTTAACAAAAGAAAGTTTTAAGTACAAGTTTAAGAACTTAAAAAATATATATTTTTGAATAAACAGCAAAAGAGGTATTAAAACTTTGATTTTTAGAAAATTACAAATGGACTAAGGGTCCAGATAAATTTGAAATAAGATTTTGCAATTAATTATAAAGAATCCTTCCCATGGGAAAATGCTTTTGTTCTGAATTAAAAAAAACCCCATAATAAGATAAGATTTTAAAAATTGGGCACCAGAGGGAACTAAACTTTACAATTAAAGGAGAAGAACATGTACAATTACAGAATGAAGCAAAATATTCTAACACTGGACATATGGAAGGATATTTTTGAAAAATGGACTCAGAAATTAATTTTGATAGTGTCAACTGAGACATCTGCCTGTATGGAGAGACTATGTCTAAAAGGTGTTATGGGAGAGGAACAAGTTATACCTGATAAGATTGAGACTGAGTTGAAAGTGGACAGGCTACAAGAATGACATGGGAAAAAATGGTACATTGGACATACAAAAGAAACCGACTGATGTTTTAATGATTAAAAGGGATATACAAAAAATAAACCAAGAGAGTGACCTGGATAATTTTCCTATATTGGATTTACAAAAGAGGCTTGTTAAAATTTTGAAGAATCTCATTAGAAGGG